TAGAAGCCCTTATGGAATGTAGTTATTCTCGATTTATACGAAGCCACCGATAGATCGTTTTGATGAAAATCTCTAACAATCGAAACGTCAAAATTATTCTCAATATTTGATTTTCACACTTACTGTCCTCTAATATTCGTCTTTTGCATTCTTATGAAAAAATACATTTTGATACTATGACTCTTTACCTCATCAATCTTGTTGGCCTCTGAAACTGACCTAAGGTCTGAAAATATAAATAAAGATTCCATCACAGATGGTATTTTTCTCCTCATATGTTACTTTTTCAAAAACCTAACTCGAAGAATAAGCATAAGGGAAACCGATGCTCACTGAGAAAAATATATTTGGAACACTATTGGTTCACTTGATCTCATTGTTGCCTTTGGAAAAATTTACCATTACTTGTAGCCATAAGCAATTTCTTACTAAAATAACGTATAGTTTGTGTATGGATTTCCACTGGTGTACATAGTTCTCATATGTGTGAAATTGTAAAGGGAAGTGATATCGATGAAAATCGCAAAATATTAATATTTATTTTAATTCATATCGTTCACTAATTAATGGATATAGAACTCTTTTTGTTGTCAATTATTGTGACAAAAAAATGTAACGAGCTGCTCCAGTTGAAATAATTTCCACGAACCTTGTCATTTCTATTTTGTTGAAAAATCATAATCGTTGCAAGTAACTATGTAACACTGTCGATGACAGATATTAGTGTAAAAAAGTTTTTTTTTTTTTCAAAAAATGTTTCTAATCAGATCGAGTGAAAAGAACACAGAGGCAACACTAAATTAAATCTATACTGTTTCGATAATCTAGTTCCATAAATCCATTTTTAAAGAGATAAATAACTTTAAAATCAAAGAAACTAATGAATTCGTGACTTGAACAGAAAGTAGAAAATCGATGTTACAAAATAATTTGGCTTACAAGTACACGAATTCTAGATAATGTAGTCCATTCATTTGACTCTTTCTCATTGATGAGAGCAAAGACTAAGTAGTTACAGATGATATATTTTGATCGTCTTGTTCCATTTCTGAATGATGTTCGACTGTTCACTGCCATATAGAAAGTTGTTCTCTTCCTCACTTTTATTCAAAAATCGATAAATCAAGAAAAAAAAACAAAATAACATGATCTCAGTTTATTTTTATTATTTCACTGTCCATTCCTTGTTGTCTCTCTGTTTTCTTGTGTCATTTAGCAAGATTTTTGTCAACGTGAAATGATTAGCAGTTAATGTTATTTTACTATTGAATGAGTCAGTAATACGATTTTGTGCATGGTATGATTAAGAAATATAGTATAAAATGGAGTTTTTCGATTCTTATACATCAAAAGCCTCTCCATTTGAATTTTTATCATCTTCATATATTAAACAAAACTCTTTTCATTTAAGAGTATCGTAACCGTAGCATGTCATGTCAAAGATTATTACTAATAATACTACAAGAAGAATGTTAGTACACCATTTCTAATGGTACTGATAAGTGTAATACTGAAGTCAAGCCATCGTTTCATCCAATTACTCGATCACTATGTTAGTTTCAATGTATTCTTCGGCCAATCTTTTTACCACAATCAAGTCCACTTTTACAGCAGCTGTTACTCGATGAAAACTCGCCTTATGTGTTTTTTTTTCACAATATTTTCTTGGATAATACCAATATAGTATACATGTCCAGTTTTTCTCGTATACGAAAGTCGTAGAAACTATAGGAATGAGATGGTAAAACTTATATAGAGAATAGAATTTTGCATCATTTGAAATAAAAAAAACATTATTCAATTAGTTATCCAATCTGAGATAAGTCTAAAGCAGAAAAAATATTCAATAATTCTGAACCCTTTAAGTATAACCTAATCGGGATGCTATTATCCGTCGACAAGCATGTTAGTCTCAAGCTAGATGAAACAATTTTTCTCAGGTTTTTGAATGTGAGTCTTTCTTTCCTTTGCTTTAGAGTTATGTCATCTGAAAACTGATGCCAAAACATGCATCCAGTATGATTTCTCTTCAAGAGACGAAAATCAAAAACTCCATACTTCAGCGTACTCTAAGAGTATGTCAAAACTATATTCTAGTACTTTTTAGTCATTTCAAGTCTACTATCAATGTATATCATGAGTATATTAATTTAAATTTATTGTATGTAAGTCTGGCTGACAATAAATCGCAAATAATGCTTCGTACTTCTAGATTGGAGTTTCAACGAAGTACAATGAAGTGTTTTGGGGTTTATTGCTGTAACGACAAACAGAAAGAATAGCTCACCAAGATCCTCAGTGATGTTGTTTATTGAGCTACTTCACATGCAACACATGATATTTTAGGAGAGAGGTTTATAGAGATAAGATAAACAGGAAAGACAAAGGTAGATCAGCAGGATGTGATGCCAATGTCGGTACATTCTCTCATTCATCTTAGATGGGCTCCAGAGCGTCTGTAAAATGTTGAAAAAAAAAGAAAAGTAGAAAAGACAGATAGTGAAGAGAAGAAAAGAAAGAACAGAACACGCAAATAATTCTATTATATGAACTCTCTCAAACAATACAAAAAGGAACTTGTGACAATCATTTAAAGTACACCTTCTGACACTCTTATATGCAATCACTTAACGATTTACGTGTCATGTAAAAAATTTTCGCAATGGTATATGAAAAACAACACTACATGACACACGAAATAGTCACAACGACTTATCTTTACATTTCAAACTAGCTTACTTCGAGAATTTATTTAAAGACGCCAAAAACAACAATGTCTCGTGCTACGAAAAATACAGAGAAATATTGATTTTCATAATTCCAATTTATATAGCAGCATAGAAAGTATACAAACAATTTAGCTGCGTAGAATTCATTATAGATCTATAATCAATCACAGATTTTCGCACTTTTCTACTTGTAATATCTTAATGAATTTGAGCGCATTTTTTGTCATTAATTCAAAAAAAAAAACTCTCATAAATTACAGCATTCAGAAAGTCGAGTCTAACGCCTAAACGATGTGTAGAATTTCCAGCTAGTAATAAATCATTTATAGAAAGTAAAGTAACAACAACAGACATTCTTTTTATGAAAGTAATATAAATAAGTAAAAATTTCGACGTTAACAAGACATCATCAACAGTGCTTATAATCTAAGATATACACATTTATTATTTTCTTTTCTTTTTTTCTTTTTTTTCCTCATTTTGAACACTGCAAGAACGACATTATCCTCTCGCTTTTTACAGTGTCCAGAATAAAAAGAGAAAAAGAAAAAAGAAAAGAATATAATAGTTGCGTATATCTAAGATCATTACCACCAATGGTGATGTTTTGTTGACGTTGAAAGTGTTACGTCTTTATATTGCCTTAATAAAAAGAATGCTTACTGTTGTTAATTTATTTCATATAATTAGATTATTTATTAACTATTTCACGACAACTAACAATATATCCATGAATCGTTGTGATCTCTAGCGGTAATTGAAAAAACAAATATTGTGACATATGAATGATTTCACCGAGTTTATACCACTTTTCTGGAAAAGATTTAGAATTAGAGTTTTGATTTGATAGTTCACCCGAAGATAGTGTGAATAATATCAGAAACATCAAAGATATGTGTGCGGTTTCATAAGTATCGAGAAATTATCAATATATAAGCGACATGCATACATATTTTTCTATGAAAAATTGTATTGTTTATGACAAAAAATTGAGAAAATGTTTTCTAAACATACATGATTCTCGTATATAGACGAAACGTCAAATCTGACAGTTGAAAATTTCGATTTCTTGTGTATTAACAACTTTTTACATCGTCTTCGAATTAAGCAACATGCTAATAGCAATAATCGTCGATTTTTTCTAACAAAAAAGGTGTAGAATTCGTAAACTGACACAAGTGTTTATGAACGATATACAATCGTGTTTCTTACTTTTTTATTTTCCTTAAACGGAAATGACTAGGACTGAGGTGAAAAATAATGAACTGACTTGAGAGAAAGTGACCTGAAGCATACAAATATTAAGAAAGACAGTGCGTCAGAATATTTGCACAGTCCGCCCAACACGAGTCGCCCTTTTATACGTTCATTGGTATTCTATGACATTGTCGTTTGTCTAGCACTATGTCCAATCAGCATTATAGACATCCAACAGTGCTATTTCTTTCAACTTTCATCTTTCCAATCGTCACTTCAATCAGTATTACTTACTGTTCGTGTTTGTTTTCTTCAAACACTTCGATTTTCATAAAGATCAATAATATTTTTCATATATTGTGGTTAGTATGGAACGTCAAAGTGAAAAAGTAGCTTATGACTACTTTTGGTCACGTTAGTTATTAAGTTACTTCATATCTTTAGAATGTATCTACTTCACATGCAATACATACTTACATAGGAGATAGTTGAGCATAGGAAAGAACAATCCAGATCAACGAAAAGTCATTTCAATATTGGCACAAATGTCAGATAGACTTGTACAAAATGAGCTCAAACTAATATCCTGATAAGATACGTTGATAGTGGACTCGAAATAGGTAAGAAGTTCTACATGATAGCCTTGCTATAGTCTTGGAGTACATTGAACTAAGGTTCAAACACGGACTTTTTGTTTTCTCTTCTCATTCATATTGGATCACAGTAGTCTGAAAAACTTCATACAATGAATTCAACTTAAACATTACTGAATATATTACCTTTCGAACTATAATGTAATATTTAGAATAATTGTATAAATAAGAAGCATTTTTATAGATGGATCGCATCTTGATAAACTGTTGACACGGACAGTAATCACGTTATGATTTTGTCATGCTTGATCTAGTTTTAAATATGAGTCGTTTAACATGAGTCAAATCTAGTGCGATACTAGTTATTCAAGGGTCTGTTAAATAGCAGAAAGCACTAGAATGATAATATTCAGAGGCGTGTAATTTAAAATAAATGAAGAGGTTTTAATTTTATTACATACTTTTAGAAAAAGATATTTTTATGTCGAACATCGATCATCATTTATCAATAGAAGCTCCGAATGAATCATCAATGACGAAAAGTGGGAAAAAATGGCATCGTCGTCGTTCAATTATTCGTGATTTCGCCATAAACACAACAATGCACGGCCTTCCGAAAGTTCTTAACAGTGAACATATATACAGTCGAATTTTCTGGGCGATTTCGTTTGCTATTTTCACCGTTTTTATGCTCTATTTTATTGTTAGAACGATTTTAACTTATCTTCAATATCCAACACAAACAAATGTGAGCGCTGATATTGAATGGCCACAAGATTTTCCAGCAGTCAGTATTTGTAATGTTGCATCATTTCGTTATGATCAATTCATAGGACCATTTCTAAACTATACAAATGCGTTGAATTTAACTTATGAAAATATTACAGATGTATTATCTCCAGTTCGAATTCGAAATTTTATACAGTATAAAGTTAATAGACATGAATCAATTACACAATATTCATTTTCACTTCATTCAATGCTCTATCAATGTTTATACAATTATATGCCTTGTTCAAGTACAGATTTTGTTCCATTTATCTCATCAGTATATGGTTTGTGCTTTACATTCAATGCTAAAATGAAAAATAGTAGCGTTAGTGTACGATACGGAAATCAGTATGGCGGCTTTGGTCAACTTGATTTAGCTTTTTATGTACATAGTCAACAATACGTACCATATTTTGTAGATAGTGAGTAGGCATTAAAAATATCTAATTAAATATGGAAATCTTATCTTTTTGAAAGGTATTGGTATGGTTGGTCTAGTACATGACAATTCACAAATACCATTTATGAATCCAAATGGTATAGGATTGGCACCAGGAAGAAAACACAAATTGAGTTTTAGAAAGAAGACAAATTTCTTTTTATCTTCACCTTATACTTCATGTACCAATAATATACCACTTTCGATGAAAGTAATGCTTAACGAGTATAATGGTGCTGATTATGGTTATTCACAACTTTTATGCTATGAGCTTTGCATACAAGCTTACGCGTAAGTGTATTTAGAAGCGATTATTACACATATCTTACTTATGTTGACATATGATGCTTTTACTGCAGATACGAACAATGTGGATGTATTGATCCTTATTTATGGAATATTCGCTATATTGTAGTGCCAGGCACAAAAAACATCATCTTAGCACCTCTTTGCAATTCCACTAATCCTTGCTATCATCAAGTAACTGATACACTCATGGCATCATCATTCATCGAAACAAAATGTCCAGATTGCACATCACAATGTTCTCTAATATCCTTTCCTCTTCAAATATCTTCATTTACAGCACCACTCGAATGGCAAGTTAATGGAATTAAAGCATTTGTAGTAAATTCTTCAGTGCCATTACCATTAGACTGGTCTACAGCATGGCGTACATATATTCAAAACAATTATGTTGCTGTTAGTATCGTACGTGAAGCAGGTGTCGTCGATAATAATAGACAGCAAGCACAAATGACTTTAGGTGACATTTTTTCGAAAGTTGGTGGTTTAACGGGTCTATGGATCGGTCTTAGTTTTCTCTCAATGATGGAGTTCATTGAAATGCTCTGTCGACTAATTAATTATCAATGTCACTTAATTCTATCAGCAATACGCAATAAGCAATAACTAACAAGACCATGAAATATTGTTATCATATATCACTTTTTATCAAATAAATCTCATATAATAGGATTTCTACTGACAACAAATGAAATTTTATATAGGTTTCAGTAAAGATACGCGTTTTCTCTGCAAATATCAAACAAACGTTTAACATGTACATTGTTTCAAAATTTTATTAATGGATTTCCATCGAAGATGTATCTAGAAGCTGAAAAATAATTACAGCAATTTGATTGATTTAAATATCTTAATAAGACACTTTTTGAGTAAACGGTTCGAAGGTGATGTGAGATACAATAATTGATGAATTCAATTCAGCCGTGAAGACAGCAGTAGTTTAGTTCAACGAATAAAAACATTCATTAATTTATGTGTACCAAAGACTATTCGTAAAAACTTGATAAAAAATGAAAACTGAAGAAAGCAAGCTGTATTCAATACGCAGAGAAGGAAAAAAGCGAAATCGATGATCACCGTAATTCACACGTTTTTGTTCGATTGCATGCGAATGCCACGAGTTAGTTATTACGAGGCTTGTAGACGAAACACATGAATTCCTACAAGACAAATAATTAAATTCAATTGACATTTTTCAATGAAATCTAGCAAATGACTTACAATTAGAAAGACAGCACCGAGAGCAACCGCTTTCATTTTGGCATCCAAATCCATTGGAACTATTATACAATGAGAAATTATCAGCACCATGAATAACTGAGACGATAACATAGAATCTGCTTGTCAAAGTTTCATGAAGTTTTTCACTTAGAATTCTGATGTATTTAAAGAACTTCTGGAGAGAACTTAGAACGCCGAAGGTTATGTATTACCTTTGATGATCGAGTAGTTATCAAAATATGAGAAACACATATTGGATATGTGATAGGGACCTTCATAAAGAAAAATATATGTTTCTACACTCAATTGGCATCGAAAACGACTGGTTTTTTTAATCAATACTAGAGAAATGCTTTTAGTTTTTCGTCACCAATGAGGCATTGACGCGTACTTTTTAGTGTATGAAAATTGAGTGCAACAAAGGCCTAACCAAATCTCAATGTCTCGAACGCATTGGCTTTTGATAATTCAATACCTTTAGAAGAATGCATGGATTTTGACTAAAAACATGTTTAGGTAATCTAATGTTCATTCGACTAAACTATCTGCATAATTTTGGTTCAAGATCAGACTATTGGTGTTTGCCGATGATTCGCTATTGTGGGTGAAAGGTGTATAAAAAATGACTAAAAGCTAGTCCCAAAGGTTTATCTGTGCAAATATTTTTCAACGCATTCTAAGCTCTTAGTTCGTAACTGATACTCTTAAATTGAGCTTAAAGTGAATGTTCACCTTAGGAGGACCCTCATATGGATTAGAAAAAACATATGTGTTGTCCAAGTTCCAATAGAAATCTGCTCTTCTTCAAAAATTCGAGCTATTTTCCAGATAACCTTCAAAATTGATTCACAAGTGCACCGTTACGTATGTTATCTCTGATTCATCAGAGAACGATAATCGATATATTCATCTATTCAATAGCAGTAAGATTATTAGTAGTCCTAATATTTAAAAGCATAGAACGTCATATTTGTAAAAAAAATGCCCTTCGGAAACCAACTAACAAATGAAAAACAAAACTAGATATCGATACATTGTACAACTCAGTTACCCCGAACAGTTGCGAAGAAACCGATAGAAATAGTGTCATGAAAAAAATAAAATATTGTTATTGCATTTTCCAGAGTTATTCTACGACTGAACAAAAAAGAATAGCACACATTTCAATATGATTCTGATCATTCAAAACACAGAGAACAATCAACACTGATAAACACAACGAGCTCACATCTTTCATGTAAAATCCCTGATTAAGATAACATTTGAGGGTTTGCACAGCAGTTATGATTCACATATATCGAAGTAAAAAATATTTGAAAATGTTGAGTCTACCCAAAATTTTGTTCAAGAGTGGTTGATATTGCTCTACGCTGAAATTTGACTGTTTTCGGATAGCGGTGTCTTGTGGAATTTTAGAATCAGAATAAATATTAGTAAGAAAATTCAAAAAAACATGAAGCCTATCTGGGCAATTTTGTCGTATCTTGAACTAATTCAGGTATAATAGAAAAAATCTTTCGGTTATGTTTTGTACCATAAGAATCTTTGAACAAAGACAAATATGAAGTTCTAAATGAAAGGCTAGGTTTTATATTCAATTCTACATTTAATGATGTATAGCAGTGTTATTGATTGTTATATAATACATTTACCTTCCAATGTGAATGAATCAGCACTTGTAAAAGCCTCACTAATAAAGCCAGCATATTTTTTACGAATGCCACCAATCTTTGTTATACCATCATTGCCATAAATCTGAAAATAAATAAAATAAATGTTCAAAACATTTTTAATTCTAATTAATTTATTTCTACAATCTGTTATGATTATATAGACATTATGACAGAAATATATTCACGTAGAAACGATCTGATTGCTAAATAAGTTTTGAATAGCAATACAACCTTTAGGAGATCAAATTTATACTTGATTGATGAGGATTTAACGCTTATAACTAGTAGATCTTCAAAAATTTGAATGCAATTGACAGTAAATAAGTTTCGTTCGGCAGAAAATAGAAATTTTCATGAGTGCTCACTGATTTTCAAAAAAATATATGTTAATTATGACGAATCGTTGTAGCTTTTGAAATTTCACTGAACTTACTGCGAACTCATTGTCACAACAACAACTGCAATCTCCATCACAGATACAACGAGGACCGATAATGCCCATCACATTTGTACGGTTAGCATCTCGTAGAGTATATCGCATTCGACATCGACTTCCTCTAAATAAAAAAAAAAAGAGAGACATGTCAAAGAAGAAATAATCGTATTTTGAACAGTGATTACTCGTGAGTAACACTCCCAATAATAGTTGACGGTGGTGATTCTACTATGATTTCTTGTTTACAGCTCTCACAATCGCCACACCAACAGCATACACAACAACATTTTAATGCACGTGACATTCGAATAACTTCCTAATGATTGAAAAATCAATAGAAATTAAAGTAACCTGGAATTCATCTATTTCAGCTTACGTTATCAGCAGTATCTCGAATATAAAGTGTAAATTCACGACTATTGGTGCACCAACAACGTTGGCAACAAGTCGAATCTACAAATAAGATGACTTATTTTAGAGAAATAACAATTATCACTTTCTCACCTTCATTTGCATTAAATAATAGTTCACCATTGCGATTGAAAATACTAAATTTTGATGTCGGTTGGTAACCAGTTAATGCTTCGAAGTGAAGAAAAAATGAATAATTAACCATGTTAGTTTTTCTTATGTACCTTCTAGGAGAGATCGATGTTGTTTGACAAAAAGATAATCAGTTGTTCGTAAACATTGTAGTTCATTTGTACTGTTCATTGATAGAGACATTATCAGTGGTAATAATTTTCAAAAGAGTTACGCTTGTTTTTTTAGTTGTCTCACCGTTTTTCTACTGAACGCAAGATTTAGAAAACGGTTGCTTTTTTTCTTCTTGTCACACGTCTATTTTCTATTTCTTATACCTTCAATAGAGAAAAAAAAACCTTGCAGTCGCGAGCACTATTACTAACCGAGCATTTTTTTTTTATTCACAGCAGTTTTTCTTTCTTCTCTTTACGTAAGGCGTTTCATTCACGTGAATAGTCGCCTAGACATCAGACGAAGACCGAACTGACTTATTCATCGTTTAAATAAGAGAATATATTCGCTCACAAGTGCGTACACATACTAGCAGCTAATAGCGACGTCATTCTCTAATTTTTTTTTACGAGTTAGGTATTCATGCGAATGTAAGAAAAACAAAATCAATTAGAAGAGTAGAGATAGAAGAGCTGTAAAGGTAGGATAAGAAAAACAGCACAACAAGGAAAAAAAGACCGAGACTGATGTATATATGTATTCGTTCTGTTATTGGCTGAAAGTCTCTGTGTCAATAGTTAAAAGTACATGACTGCCGTTCCTACTATGATAGAAACAAAGGCATGACTTTTTGCATCAATGTAGTGTACGACGTGAAAACATCATAGAATAATGCGATCATATGCCATCTGCAATGAAGTCTTCATAATACTTAATAAAATGCCCATAATCTTTTCAATATACGTTGCTGGAAGGTTTATGAAAACATATTCGATACTTGAAACTATTCAAGGTTTTACTATGTGTTGTATTACAACAAACTTTTTTATAAAAGCATATGCAAGGTCGCCAAGAAATCGACGAATATATCAAAATTTTATTTTTTGATTTAATGATCTTATCGTAATTAGCGTCATCCAAACTGTGTACATCCAAATTTTTGGTCTATTGGATTGATCTAATAAAAAGTTAGTCTGATTGGTCTTTTAATCATTCATAAGGAGATTGTGAGAATATCATCAAATATTATTTATATAAAATGAACTTCTTACATATGACAAGAAGTTAACGAAAATTTTCATGTGATATACATATAGATAGACAATTCCAATACTGAACAAAATTAGTAATTTACATACCATGGTTTATTTAACTGATGCAGAGTTATTTGTCAAATACTGCCCATGATGCTTGTTGTTCGAGTAAGCAATGTGAGATTCAATAAATTACTATAATCGAATACATAAATTAACAAGTATTTATGTTTTCTTTTTAATCTTCATTTATAATGAATTATCAGATTGTTAATATTATTCAAAACGAGTAAAACATTAATCAATAATTTAGTAACTCGTTTCAAAGGAACTATATGAATAAAAGTATTTTAAAATAAATTTTTATGTGCAATAACAGACATAATGGTGACAGTAAGTTCAATAATAGTAGGAAAATAATTTTCACAATTATTCATCATACTTTCATTTTTTATTGTAACTTGATTAACTAATTCTATGTGTTTAGACAAAATTTTCTCTCCTTCATATAATAAGTAATATTTTCTTATTAAAAATAAAAACGAAATACTAAGCAAACAAATTTATTTACTATCTAGAGAGGAATAATACTGTTTTATATGACCTTAAATTTAACATATAGTGTAAGGTGCAAGAGAAAAAGGTTTCAGGAAGAAATGTGTTTTGATGATTGATATTGTCTAACTGTGAAATGACCACCATAGATGTAATCAACACGTGCACTTGTTATCATTTATAATAAACCTAGTAATAAAAAGTATAATTCTTCAATGATCATTTTGTAGTTCGATAATGTTGGTAATGAAAACTCACCTTTTGACGATCCAAAAAATGCTTAGCTTTATTTTCAAGGAATCAAACGATTGGATATAGTCGAAAGAAAACATTTGTTTTCCTGAATTGCGTTGCAATTGATGATGAGATCAATAATCTTTAAGAAATACTTCGCAATCTATTTATCTTTTCTTTCTTGCAAATTTCAAGAAGATGAACTATATTTATGTTCATTTTCAGACCGTTCCGACCAATATTTTCATTACTTTGTGTACCTGATGTGTAAGTTTTCCGTCTTAAAAATATAAACAGAATACTAATACCACAAATCCATATCTATCTGTATGAATTTATCCGGAGAAGGCAACGATGAAAACGCGTTGGTCTACCGTATAAAAAACAATGCTCAATGAATTCTTGCTCTTCGAACCAAAATAAAGAATCAAACGCATCGATTATATCAACATAATAGACAATACTCTGATCCAAGAACAACTGATAAATAAGTTAGAGTCAAAAATTCATAAATATAACATATTAGATAAAGTTAATTGTTGCCGTCGCCGATTGTATAAATATTCTGAATTTTATTCTTTTATCATAATCTGGCAAATTTTAAAACTCATTTAAAAAAATAGTGATTAATAACTCGAACACAATAAAATCGATATAATCAAAATTAACAGTCGCATATGTAAAATAAATGAGTTCGATTTAACTTCTTTTATCGACTGACATAGACGTATGAATACAAAATAAGGTTTGACGTACTTAAATACAAATTGTTTGTGAGAATAAAATATTCAATTCGATTGAATTCATCAATTGCAAAAGATGATCATTCACATTTAACGTATTTGCTAAATGATGTTAAATAATATTTGAGTAAAAGAAAACAACATATCTGATGAGAAAAAAAATATTGTTCTATTTTAAATCTTTTCACTAGGAGTATAGATTTGGTAATGAAGCTAAATTATTCAGAAGTTCTTCAAGATAATTTGATCAAATTTTATTAACAAATAAATTTTTCACATTAAGTACATTTTAATCCAATAAGAACAAGGTAAAAAATTTAGATTAACAATAAATCAATTTTTCAGATGAAGTCATTATATTTCATGTTGATAAGGAATGAAAATTTTGGAGTGATAACATTGAAACGTCGATTTCGATATAGATCAAAGTTTGACTTTAATGAGAAGAGTCGAGTCAATAAAACGGCTTTGCGATAGTATATTAAGATTCCTTCATAAACATAATGAAAATCGAAAAAAAATCAGATAATTTTGATTAGTCTTGCAAGAGGTCAGATTATGAAGCAATCAAAAATACTTCTATCTTAATGACTTATTTTAGTCGACTGTTTCCATTATAGGACAAGAAATAAGGTATTTTCATCTAAAAAGAGATTACTCTGTTATCTTGTTACTTACATATATCTGTTTCGTTGTCATTATAATCAATCTAGATATCTTATTGCCCAAATATTTGTTTCATATTGAATTTAAGACAAAAAACTCAAGTAATAAACTTCATTAAACAGAAAATTGATTTCAATCTCTGTTTGTAAGAAAAATTTCTATGCATATGTAGTCATGTAATTTATTTTCACTAAGCTTCGGACACTTTATATCGAATTAGTATAAAAACGTTTTGTTTGATATGGATGAAGAAAAAACTGAGAAGATTTGATAAACAGTTACAATATTAAGGAAGAAACTCGCATTTGTCTTGACGATATTGATAAGACTTTATTTAAGTTAAACGTCAATTATGAACTTATCTATTATTGTAAATAGAATTTTGTATGATATAGGAATGATTGATGACATTTGTTTTTAATGAAATAATTCTAATTCAAAACAGATTTTTTTCTAAAATGAATTGAAATTAACGATACTTTAACATATTGAACATTTGCTGTAATATGATCATATGAGTCATCGCATCACAAATAATAGACAGAAAAATCAAATTACCTAACACAAAAGAAAGTAAAGTAAATGTATATCATTTTGATATGAGACGAGTACATTTGTTTTAAATAACCACGAATAATAGAAACATAGTTCACACAGAAACTTGCTTAAGTACTCAAGTGCTACTCTTATGTATAAATGATTCTATGTTAAATCATAAAGAATAAGAAAAAGAGAATATTTACAAAAATATTTTGTAGTATTATTAAGATATAAAATTCTAGATTTCACTTAACAATTTTTATTGACAGAAAGTTTTTCAACTTCTCTTTAACTTGAATTTGTGATTTATGTGAAAATAACCAACAATCCAGCCATCTTTAACTTTCTTCTTGATTATTCTATACGCAATTACGGCATAACCAAAGTGTATTTAAGGATTTTCAAAGCACAGAGACAATGGTAATCAAGATTAATTCTAATAATAAATTTATAATAGATATTAATCAACGCACGTAGTTGGATTAATACAAAAAAAATACTTAACAAGCAAGATGATATTCGTAGTATACCATTGCCATGAAGTTTTTATGCCTAATTCTATAATGCTATAGGAGTACACATTCAAATACTATAATTTGAAAACCTATTGACTTCCTGCATGAGTACTCGTAACTCAAAACCTCAGTAAAAATCTTTACTTCATTTGAACTACAAGTTGATCGAGCATCGCACTTGATAGCCCTGAGTGTTTTGTTAACTTTTGCATCATATAGCATGAACCAACTAAGATATTACCTCTTCGTCTTCAAACTTTGTTTCATCATTAACATAGTTTCGCTACAAACGATTCATTCATGTCATGATCGCTTAAGCATAGTCAACGACAGTGATGAGTATTTAGATAGAATTAGAATTCACTAATCTTGTGGAATATGCGATCGACGAATTATTCAGAGTTTCGATTGATTCGTGATTATTTAAGCTCTCAATTTCAAGATCTGTTTCAAGAAAACATTTTAACATTCTATTTTCATGATTCGCAAATCAATGTAAAAAAAAATACTTTAGTAAGTGCCGTTTCTGATCAGGCTAAAATCTCATACTTACCGACTGTCACCGTTAACCTCATGGAGCAGATATAAATTCCTCTAGAAAAAAAAGAATTCTAGATTCATTTTTTTATTTTGAGAATGTTATGTGGTTAATAATGTGAAATTGAAATATTTATAATATAGCGTTAGTCTTTAGAAGTAGAATCATAACTCTTGAACAATTAACACTGTTAAGTTGACTCAAAATATTCGAAAGAGCTTTACATCTCGACGTTTTACACTAGCTACTACACCACAGACCATAGTTGAATCATTAGTTGAGAATGCATCAGTTTTCGAAACATTCCCGATTTTCATCCAACAAGTACCACCATTCAACATTGTCCATGTATAATGAGTGCATTGCTGAGTTTTAGAGCATTCTCCACCACATAGTTCCGCTGAAATTTCCACGTGAGACAGATCGTTCCCGTGGAAATCACAGGACATGGCCCAATTCTGTCCATTCCATTGAACGGTGGGACTAGTTGTTCCTGACTGAGTATCGTTTCTAACACCACAGATCATGGTTGTATCATTAGTTGGAAATGCATCAGCCTTGAAAACAGTACCCTTTTTCATCCAACAAGTACCACCATTCAACATTGTCCATGTATAATGAGTGCATTCGTTTGTTTGAACACACGCTCCACCACAAAGTGCTGCTGAAATTTCCACATGAGACAGATCGTTCCCGTGGAAATCACAAGACATGGCCCAATTCTGTCCATTCCATTGAACGGTAGAATTCGTTACTCCTTTCTGGTTTTCATTTACGATGCCACAAATCATGGCTGGATCATTATTAAAGAATGCATCGTTTTTCGAGACATTGCCCGTTTTCATATAACAAATACCCCCACTCCAATTCGTCCATGCATAATGAGTGCATTGCTGGGTTTCAGCGCATTTGTTACCGCAGAGTTCTGCTGGAATTTCCACGTGAGACAGATCGTTCCCATTGAAATCACAGGACATGGCCCAATTCTGTTCATTCCATTGAACGGTATAATTCGATGCGCCCTGCTTGGTTTCATTGACAATACCACAAATCATGGTTGCATCATTGGTTGGGAATGCATCAGCTTTGGAGACATTACCCGTTTTCATCCAACAAGTACCACCAAGCCAATTTGTCCACGTATAATGGGTGCATTGCTGAGTTTCAGCGCATTTTTCACTGCAGAGTTCTGCTGAACTTCTGACATAGTGTAGATAATTTCCATTGAAATCACAGGATTTTGCCCAATTCTGTGCATTCCATTGAACGGTGGAATTATTTGTGTTTGGCAGGATATAGTCTCTAATGCCACAAATCATGGTTGTATCATTCGTTAGGAATGCATCAGCCTTGGAAACATTACCCTTTTTCATCCAACACGTACCACCATTCGCTGTTGTCCATGTATAATGAGTGCATTCCTCCGTTTCAAGGCATTTTGGACCGCAGAGTTCCGGTAAAACTGTCACTTGAGACAGATCGTTCCCCTGGAAGTCACAGGATCTAGCCCAATTCTGTCCATTCCAATAGATGATCTGGTCTAGTATATGGAAAAGAACTTGACAAGTTCAAAAATATTTGCTTGAAGAAGAAATTATTATTTCCGTTTGTAAAAATGATTGTGTCCTTGCAAATAGCTCTAAGATTCGTTGGACAACTCAGAATAATAGAAAATTTTACTTAACCAGATGGAGTTTGGTGAACTCTGTCAAAGAGTATAATCTATAGTTCAGAATTGTTAGCATCAGAAAAACATGGCAATATAGATATAAAAGCACTTTAAAATTCGAATACTACATCAGCAATCACCCGTAATCATTCTGTTATATACTTTTCTACTGTTCGGAAGTTTCTATTTATTGCGCTTGCAATCTGAAAAGGTAATTTTTCAAGAATTGATTATGGATTCAAAAATATGATTAAGATACAGTTCTTCATCATGAAGAATACTGCACTTTCAATTTCTATAGTAGTTCCACTAATTTTGGTAGCATCAGCATGTTTTCATTGTGCTGTATACTTTGAACAAATATTAGTTTAACAGAAAGAAAATACAAACACATCCATAGAAAGAGTAATGAACGCTGCGTTTCATATGCTGTATAACTAGTTATTGTCAGCTTTCATTCATGAGAAATTCGATGAATTTACAACTCAGAACTTCTATGGACGACTGCTCGATACACTGTCGATTTAAAAGCTACAAAATTTCTTTCGTTGAACTGTATTCTGCTGAATACAGTCAATTGAATAGACTACGGACATCTACTCCTAAACGATTTATTATTGAGTTTAGATGGAGATAGTTCAAAAATCGGAGTAAGGCGTCAAAAAGCGAAAGTGTTGTCGTTTTCAAGCAAATTATACAGTTCATCTATTTACAGTGAACCTAACTTCTTGAAACGACATACTTCTCTTGTTCAGCATCGTCATATTAATGTTGCTCACTTGGTTTAAATACAACAAAAAAACGATCTTTTCCAGACCAGCTCTTATAGGATCAGTGAGAGATTGAAAGATGCTCTGTTCGCGCAAAGCTTTGTGATTTAATGATTTTTTTGTACGAATGTTTTTTCTTTGCGAACCTATGTCGACTACATGTTGATTTTCGTGAAACCGAAAAGTGATCGTTTTTAAAATGAGTCATAGTTATACTTCTAATGCAAAAGTATATTAAAAACTATACCTGGCGTTTTACTGCTGTATTTCGTTCCTAGAATAGGGCCAAGAATGGTTGCCATGATGCATACCATCACCAAGATGCAAATTGGAATCAAAAATCTTTTCTTAATATACCAATGGCGGCTTGGCGGTCTGGTAAAAGTTTGCAAGAAAAATCAGTTAGTTATATCAATTGAAAACGTGCCAGGTGCTAACGGAAACTATCTCAAAATGAACCGAAATCTGTCTTGTTCAATTAAAGTCACTCGCTTTATTCTTTTCCAAATTATTACGAAGTATGCTTGAACATGAGTATTGAAAATCAGAAGCTAACTTAGGAAGTTGAATGATGCAACTTTGATAAGCCAAATATGTTTCGATTACTCAAATTGTTTGTTTTTGAATTACTGATCTGAAAACCTTCGTGATTGCTTTTTCACTGAAACAGTAGATGTAATTTTCAAGTACTAAAATACATGGTGTAGATCAGTGGCCAATATTTTTCAAAATTATTCTTTTTGAAAGTACTTAGTGATATCAATTTGACTCTCAAGTTCCTCATAGTTTCTTCAAAAAAAAACATAAGTATTTTTCTTTTTTTTCCGTTGTATTATGATTTTCATCATGTGTCGCGGTTTGTATGACGGCGAACATTCGTTATACTACTCTGTTATTCAAGCTTTTAGAGAAAATAAAAGCTAATATTGAAGAAAAATCATCATAACCTTTTCACCTAGTTCAATTTCTATTAACAAAAGGGCTTTTCCTCTTGTTCTTCATGATTGACTATTTATTCCTGTTTTAATGATTTTATTCTTGTAATGTTAATAACTTAAAATGTTTTTCATCAAAGGTGCATCAGTATAAGAGATAATCATCAATAAGGAAACTATATACTTCTTTTTTATGCGAAGGAATCTAGATTTTTGAGCCTTTGAGAGAACCTCTTGAACATCAAGAAGTCTAAGAGAAGTTATCGAATAGTCGTTCGAAAATGTTTTACAATGTTGACTATGAATCTTGATTTTCGACTTTAGTTCTCAATTAAAATTATGAATTTTATTAGTGAGCTATAAGCATGAAATTTGATTATATGATCAGTTCATGCTATTGATACATAATGACTCGTATAGCTACTCATGTTATTGAAAAGTAGTATAGGAAAAAATATGGTATGGCCTTCATATAGATCCAAAGTCCTTGGTGAGTGTGCTCTGTCAGATGAAGCAAGATGAAACTTACTCAATTTTTGGATAAAGGCATGCATCTGAGAACAGATATATTTGAATTATAAAATGCACTGTTGGCAATGTTCAATTTACCTTCGAATGGAGGTTCCAATAGTGGTTCCTTTGGTATTATTTGTTTTAAATGAACGATGTGCAGTTCAGGCGCTGGATTTAATAGTGATTGTACTTCCATAAATGTTCCCGGCAACAGTAAGATTTCCTCTTCATCATTAAAATAGGAATGAGCGCGTATATTTCTACCATTTAACACTTCAATAGAAAATATGGTTCTCTCTCCTGTTGTGCCCAAATAGAGATCATTCTCTAACACGGATAACGATTTTGTGGTAGATGAGAAAGCCCACCATATAATTTGAGCTCCTTTTTGAAATTCATCAGTAATATTCTTTTTCAAACCTCGCCATACGACCTGTGATGCTGAACATGGTATTTTAACTAAGGCAGTGAGAAAAAGTTTAAGATATTTAAGCCACGGTTGTAATCCTTCTCTATCGCCTTTCCTAAGAGCATAATTAAGATGGAAATAAAGGCTTCCGCTTGTATTATCCCACTCCATTGTGTAGAGATGAATTGCAGCTGATTCATCACGAGTCAACTCATCAGGCGGATTATCTGGAATACGTTGTAGAGCAATCGAAGCATACTTAAGAATGTTCGGAATAATGAGTTGTAACGGTATGCAAGCATCAATCAGCGGAAGTATTGGTTCTTGAGCATAACCAATGAAGGGACACAACATCGTTTGTTGATGATCGGAGTCTTCTATTAGTAGACGATGGTTTTTGCGTTGAAGGGGAAAGTCATCGTCGTTCATCATTATTTCGTGCCCATCGTTTCCAAACAACTTCGGAAGTTTATCGCTTGTCTCTGACATAGTTGTGTTATCTGAAACAACAAAAATGCACATAGCGTTCAATAGATTGATGACTAGTTAATGAGAGACTGCTTCTATAATATAAAACTAATCCAGTATTACTGTGCTACATTCAAATATGATGAACTGAATAGCAAAGCAAAATAATATTAGAGTAATGCATAAAATATCATTGCTTTATCTTTTTCAACTAGTATTCATTTTTGAAAATAAGGCGGTGCGAGAGAATGCCTATAACTTTTGAAGGAAACGTGATAGAGACCTGCGGTTTTCATCGTTTTGTACAGTACATCAGGACACTTAGTAGTACCAAATATCAAACCTACAGATAAAGTTTAACATAGTATATATTTTTCTGCAATATTCACGACGCTCTCGTTCCCGATTAACACGACGGGTTTTGATTTGCAAATAGTGAGATCAATAGCCCAGATCGAGATCTACAATTCTAGAGCAACCCCAAATCTCCATCTCATACGGTTCAAAAGTTATAGACATTCCTTCGAAATGCCTTATCTCAAAAAATGGTTATGGAATCTTGATCTGGGCTATTGATCTCACTATTTGAAAATCAAAACTCGTCGTGCTATTAGTGCACGAGAGCGTCGTGAATATTGCAGAGAAATATATACTATGTTAAAGTTTATCTGTAGGTTTGATATTTGTTACTACTACGTGCCTGATGTGCTCTACAAAACGATGAAAATCGCAGGTCTCTATCACGTTTCCTTCAAAAGTTATAGGCATTCTCTCGGACCGCCTGATTTTCAGAAATGGATACTAGTCTGGAGGCATGCAAACTGCTGGTGTTTTTAACAGGGTATTTTGTTATGTGAGAAAAACCTAGGAAAAGAATCTTAGATTTTGAATATTTAGGCTAGTCATCACCAATTGCAGAAGAAATAGAAGCATTAGTTCGGATCAATACGTTTACGGATTCATCCAATGACTTGGGACCGTTTCTCGCTGCACAAAACAAGAATGTAGCCGAAATTTACACTAAAACCTGAGTCAGATTCAAACTCGGGATAATAATTACGAACTAAAAATCTATATTGCATGGAGGAAATTCTTTATCAAGTTTGTTATAAGAGAGATGCAATTTCATGTGTTTTTTGCATCAAAAACTATTTAGCATGTCTTCTCATCAAAACTAGAATAAATTTTCCCAAAGGTTAATACGGTTAATACACTAGTAAAACAATGATCATGCACTGCTATATCTATTTGAAAAGCATTAGCCATCATCGTATCACTTCCACGACAGGCATTCTAATGAGCAGCTTCAGTATCAATAAAACATTGATAAATATTAGTAATCAGTAGTACAAAGAAAAGATAAAATTAAAGATAGAGTGCTAATGAGGTAGATGAACTATTGAATATGCATTTATTTGCACTATGTCTGAGTGGTAAAAGGAAGGATTTTTCTTTTTTTAAATATCAGCAAGTGTAAGTTGGAACAAAAATAAGTGACTATCTTACAAATATTCAGTACGTTTATACCAGTCGTGAAACCCAACTGGTCTTCTGTAGCAAGAATGTCTTTGTTGTAGCTACGACAGTATCTGTTGCTTTTTCCCCTTAAACCAACTCGGAAATAGAGAAAACACAAAAAAAACCGGTATTCTGGACTGGAAAACCATCGTTCCGAGAACACTACGTTTCCAGCTCTTTTCAGAGAACCGAACTAGATCAAGTTTTTAGCGAGTTCAGATGAATAGCGATTGGAAATAAGCCAGAAACTCATTGTACTTGATCAAGTGGTCCTATAACAACATAACAAAATCAAGGATGGTGATCTCGACTATCAGAAATATTGAAAAAAAATGGAAAGAATCAGCAGAAAATACACCAAGCAGTATACTATTCGTAGAAAAAATCGAAATGAAACTTTGTTCAACTATTCTGTTAGTCGAAAACAGTAAAACATGATAAATACTTTTTTTCTAGTTTCTGACTATTTTCTCGATTGCTCGAAAAGTATCGATCAGATTCTTGGTTTTCCAATAACTGAAAAACTATTGAGAATCACCATTTTCTGTTTATTGCCTTTCTCTTCCGGAATATTGCTTTCATATTTCGCTAATTTGTTGACTAATTTTGATCAAAAGCTCTGTGCGGTCAGCTGATATTATGTTAGAAAGATATTATTTCTGAGGAGATGTCAAATGTGTACGAGGACACTGTTATTTGTTTTTGGTACGATTTCAGTATCAGTTTTTATATATTTGAGCAGCTTTAAAGATGTTTATTGGTCTATTGACATTTGAAAGTAGGAACTGATACCGGCTTTTAATCAATGTGGGAGTTAAAACTGGTTTCTAAAAAGATGATAATTGAAAAGAGTGACAAAAAACCAAAATAGTAATAACTTGGGTTAAACTATCAATGATGTTAAATCGATCAACTACTTTTATTCTTTCAGCAGACTGAATTCAGTTGATTTAGTAATTATTTTGATTCAGTTTATGTTTCATATAATATTTAAAAATAGATATTTTATCATTCTTTATTTAAAAAAACTTACTATCTATAGATTAGTCTTTGATTGTTTTCACATGTATACATCTGCAAGTTGCGTTTAGTCATATTACGCAAACGGTTTAAAATGAAATGATATATTTTTTACGGTACAATATTCAAAGTTTTTTCTACATTAACAGCTACGATCAAAACGTAGAATATAAAATAAGTTTTATGGAATATGATTTGATCAGGCATATATAGCTTCGATTTAAAAATGTCGTTAGAAGTTTCATAGTGGAGTAAATTGTTCGAATATCGAAATTGTTATAGATGTTGACCGTAACTATAATCGTGTACCCTTTTAGAACTAGTTTGATTATAGTCATTAAACAATATAATGTTCAATATCACTCAAAATACATCTACTTATTCCTTCTGAGTGATGTAGAAAGTATTTCTCTTTACGTTTGACCTATAAGAAAACAACTGTTAGATCTTCACTTCTCATAGTCCTTGCTTTCTGGTTGTATTTATTCTCTCGTTTCTTTTCTCTCATTTATCGATATTATAACAAGAAAGAACAAGAAAAACACAGCAACATACGCACTGATAAAGGTAGTGATGAAGAATGTCCAAGAATGAACAGACAATAATAAGATACAATTATTTCGTGTTTAAAAAAATGTATATATGAATATACTCACAGACCATAATATTGATTGCCGCACAATATATACTAAAAATCATTTCCACTTTAGAGATAGAAAATAAGAAATAAAATAGATTCATTAATGTTTTTTCAAATACTATTTTTAGCTCTTCATGTTTTAAAGATCATTATTCGCCATGCAACACAAAATATATTGTGTTACAAGTGCATTTGTGCTTGCCAAATAAATACAAGAAGACGTGATCTGTAAATAAATACATAAGAGATGAGACAGAAAATAATCTATAAATAATAATTTTTGAAGGTGAATAACACTGAAATACATGTTTTGATAATTTATCATAGTTTACTGAGCTTGTTGAACGAAATTTCGATCAATTTTAGCTCAATACTTATAACTCGATCAGGTTCTAACTTCCACATTTGCTTCAATGTTTCAATGTATATCTATATCGATGTACATTGTCAACAGTAAATATAGATACAAATATAAATTTTTACATGCATCGATTTACATATTCACACATTACTCCACGTGACTTACTCTTCATTGATTTGTTTGCGAATGTTTGTATGACTACAATGACGCTTGCATATATCCAGATGTAATCACTGATGCATATTCTATGACTACCCTATCGCTTCGAGTATTGCAATATGACGTTTCATCGTATTATAAAAAGAAAAAAAAACAGTATAATATGACTAGCGATAACTTTTGATTTGCTCTATCAAATAAGCTGAACTATTGCATTTATGTGCTGTCATTTTCTAGTAAATTCTTTTCCTGTTACTTTCGATGAAATATTTCAAAGTGATGTTATATACTAGTCAATTGACATGGGACAAAACCCAGATCATTAAAAATGAATCAGACATTTATTATGTCTAATGCTAAAACAACGTGATAATCAATTATGACGCATTGAATATAATATTTTGTTTTTCATCGTTTATTACTATCCTGTTCGCATACAGACGCAATAGATGTATCATAAAACTCTGAGGTAAACTTTAAATTTTAATGCAGCTCATTTTCGATTTTCTTTGTATAATATAAAATATATTAAGGACACCATTCTATGACAGCAAATTATCCGTTCTAAAGACATCTATCTATAGAATGAGATGCTAGATAACATTTACATATGATAAATCATTTTCATGATCTGAGGAAAAAAACGATTGGATTTCATATTTTACCACATTTATAATATCACAAACATAAAAAACTATTCAAGTCAATTAATAATGTGTTTTTACAGGTTTAAATAACTGATAAGCCCTTTTTTCGATTGCAACCTATGAAGACTTATTTATTTACTTCTATACAAACACAAACACACGCACACATATATATGTATTGATATACTTCCGTTTTAGTCTTTTTTACCATCTCGAATTTAGATACAAATAACCCTCATTTAACATCAGTATATACTAATGCTTCATCTTTATCCACAATTACATCAATGATAATGTTATCGCGACCTGCAATAAATACAATATGCAGTACTCCAACATCTCTCCTATCAACAACACAATGATAAATGTGTTTTAGTTACGCTCACTTGTTGTTTTTCGTAAATCAACTTCTACTTCTAATTTATTAGACTCCAAACAAACACAAATCAGTTGCAATTATCAACATTTAAATAAACTTATGAAGTCACAAATACAAACGTTTGGTTTAGCACAGATTAACTTTAACAAGTGATTAATCAAT